TGAACGCGCTTAAATAGTGGTAGGCAATCTCAAAGATCGCAGAATGACGAAAACGGCTGTAGATCATTTGCAGTGGATAGATGCTCATTCTTGCTGTTTATTCTAGGTATTCGCGCAAGTATCCAAGAGGCTTCTAAGGCTTTTTGAGAAGAGATATTTTCCGCCAACGCCAGAATTGTGCATCTTATGTCAAAATCGGTGCCATTGTGGTCTTCTTTCCTATGTTTTCCCAAAGGACTCACACGACTCTGTCTTCTTTTACTAGCCGAGTGCTCATTTACGCGTCCATGAAGTGGTCGTCCGGTCTCGCCGATGTAGGTGGCATGGCAATCCGTGCACCCCAGTTGATAAACTACTCCGCATTTGGAGCAGTCTCCCAATCTTCCGTTTGGACACACTACGCAATTCGGCGTGATGCAAGCTCTATCATATAATCTATTGCGAACTAGTTGTCTCTTGATATTATTCCTAGGAATATTCACAAGGACAACATCGTTTTCCAACTGTGCATGCACTAAGCATTGTTTGAATGCGGCGGTCAGTTTGTTGGAGATGAACGGTAAACATAATGGAACTTTGGTTCCAGTATGTTCCTTTCTGTTTATAGATATAGTGGAAGATTTGGGTTGGAGCGAATAACTGTTATTGGTGATTATTTGGGATACCATTCTTGTCTCTTACTTTCACCACTGCTAAAACTGCTGTTTTAAACATATTGCGAATTATTGCACGTTTTGTAGCAGTAGGATGGGCAAATCTTGCGTTGATATTCTTAGAGCTTTCCTTTCGATACCATTTTAAGTGTACCGCTCCGTTGACCAACATCAACGTGTGTTGAGGTACGGCAACCAACCGTCGCGTGGCTTTCCCTTTGTAAGACTGTGATCGTTGATTGATTATTCTGAAACACTCATCCATTTCGGATTGAGTGGATGTAATAATGCAACAAGCATCGATGTAGCGGTAGTACATTAGGGGGCATCGTTCTAGCATCGGCTGTTGGATAGAGCTTACATCTCGCCGAATTGCATAGTGGTCCAAACGAAAGATTGGGAGATTGCTCCGTAGTTCATCAACTGGAGTGCACGAGTTGCCATGCCCCACCAACATCGGCGTGACCGGTCGACCACTTCATCTATGTAAGAGAGCACATGGCTAGTGAAAGAAGACAGAGTCTTGCGAGCCCTTTGGGAAAACATAGAAAAGAAGACCATAATGGCACCGATTTTGACATAAGATGCACAATTCTAGCGTTAGCGGAAAATATCTCTTCTCGAAAAGCCTTAGAAGCCTCTTGGATACTTGCGCGAATACCTAGAATGAACAGCAAGAATGAGCTTGCCTACCACTATTTAAGCGCGC